GCTCGCCGCCCCGCCCCGCCCAGGCCAGCCCGAGACCAAGGGGGCGCTAAGCAGCGGGCGGCGGGGACTGGTTCCCTGCGCTGTGCCTACGAGTCGTCTGGTCGAAGTTGCTGTTTGTCCCTGTCGCGGCCACTGCAGCTGTGGAGATCGAGATGCTGGAGAGCGGGAGCCGGCCCCGGGCCCGGGAAGGCTCCGGGGAATCGCGCGGGAGCTGTTTCTGCCCAGGCCGCTGCCCTCGGTTTTCACTTGCTCTCTGCTGCCAACAGGAAATGCAGTGGCAGCGGTGCCACTAGCACCCTGAAGGGCATCCAAGTTTAAAAAGTGGAGGGTGGAGGGCACGGTGTAAAGGAATATGTTTCTTCACTCATTTAACTGTTCAGCAGGTCCCCCATCCTGGGGAGCAAAATCCAGGTGAGGAGTGCAGTACTGCTGCGCTTGTTTGGCCCACGTGCCTTGCTCCTTTGGCTAAAATTGCCATCTCTTTCCTCCAAATGAAAAGTGGAATAGTAACCTGCTGATGCCTGAGGGAGCTCACTCGGGTGTCACTGTGGAGAATAGGCAGGGCAGGCAGAAGGTGGGAAGAAGGACAAGAGATGCCATTAGACTTGCAGCGGTTCTCAACCTGTGGTTCGCAACCTCTTTGGGGGTCAAACGACCCTTTCCCAGGGGTCGCCTAAGACCATCGGAAAACACATATATAATTACATATTGTTTTGTGATTAATCACTATGCTTTAATTATGTTCAATTTGTAACAATGAAATTGAGGGTCACCACAGCATGAGGAACTGTATTAAAGGGTCGGGGCATTAGGAAGGTTGAGAACCACTGCGTTAGAGGTAAAGTGGTGATAGTGAGAATGCAGAGGGTGGAACAGAGTTGGGAGCTATGGAGAAAGATTTAGACTCAGAGAGGGTTCTGGTTTGGGATTTGAATAGTCCTGAGCTAGAAAAGATAAATTCCGTTCAGAATTGATTTTGAGATGACTGTGGGATAGACCGGTGGAAACAGCCCAGCGACAGTTTCCACCTTCAGAGACCAGCCAGGGCAGAGATCTGGATGGTGAACCATTGGCATCTAGGTAGTCACTGAAGCCAAAGAGTAAAACAGTGGTTCTCCACCCAGAGAGGCCTTGCCCCTCCCCCCAGGGGACAGTTGGCAGTATCTGGAAACGTTTAAATTGTCACAGTGGGGTGGGGACTAAGCTGCCAGTGGCATCTAGTGGGAGGAGGCCAGGGATGCTACTACCCATAATGCACAGGCCAGCCTCCTCCCCCTCCCAATAAAGAATTTTCTAGCCCTAATGTCAATAGTGCTCAAGCCAGGAAAACCGGGAGTAGCAGCAGATATAGAGAGCAAAAAGAGGGATGAGGGTGATGCCCCAGAGAACGGCAGACATTTGACGGATGGGCAGAGAAGAAAGCACTTGAGATTGAAAAGGAATCACTAGGGAGAAGCTAGTGGCCAAGGCAACGTCCTCAGTTACACAAGCTTTTAGCAAATCTAGCAAATCAAGGCCAAGGATGGGCTAATGGATTGCGTGCTAAAGCAGAGCCTGAAGAGGGAGATGGGTTGACAGAATCCTCGTGAATCCCTCACTGCCCCCCACTGTCCTCCCTGGCCTGAAACACTAGGGACAGACTACCAGCAGACCTCAGGGGGTAAGCCAAGAGCTTGATGGAGAAGGGCTCTTCAGTTCTCAGCCTTTCTTAAAAGACATGCCACGGAGAACATCAAGGAAGCACCGAAATATGACTTGGGACTTGCGCAGTTAAACAAACGCGGCAGGTTCACACTGGCTGCAGGCATATGAGCCCCCTCCAAGTTTTCCTCCTCAACCAACTCACAGGAAAAAGCGCAGGTCAGCTTTTTCTCAAAACTGTATTTTCTTCCCTCAGAAGAACTCAGGTTGAAAATCCTTTTCACTAAGTCAGGGGTTCAGCCTCATTGGATTTTACTGCTGGAAATGCCTTGAGATCTCATAGGGCTCTCTCTTTGCTTGCTATGTTGCTAGCTTGGCTTAGCATTTCTGAAGTTTGAGATCTGTCCTATAGAAAACTGAAATACCTGTCTGGATGGGCCTGGCTGTATTTGGATGCCCAGAGCTTCCCCTAAATGGAACCAAACTCCTGGGGTAAATCCTGAAATGCATTTGTCTCATTTATCCTTTACACTTACGTGTTTAATTCATGTACCCACCCCACCCCCAATAAGATCATGCATTTAAAGCACCTGGCACCTTGCCTAGCCCATTGTACATGCTCAATAAATGTCGGTTGTGCTTTCTGCTCCTTGGGTATTTTAGTCCTCAGTCCTGATCAGGGTCAAAACCAAACGAATTTGGTGGTTCTAAGTTTTGGAGAGAAGAACCTGTCTGCCTTAAGTTCAGATTTCCAATGAAACTATGTCTTTGAACATTAACATTCAGAGAACATGTTTGCATATTCTAATGCCCTAAAAAAATAACATATACCAGCTAACTCACTGCCTGAAGATCTATGCAACAAAATGCCATCCTTTTCTGTGGATAGTTGAGCCAGCAGTTTGTTTTACTACCTCTTCTTAAAAATAAGATAAAAGAGAAAACAAAACATACATACTTGCTTTCCATAGTACATAGCTTCTTACTCAACTTAAACAACAGTCTCCAAACACATCAAAGATCGAGATTTTATGTTGCTGGGTTAGAATGACTTGGCATGCAGCGGGGGTATGGGGGGGGGGGGTCTTTCAGACTGTGGTGTCCATAATCTTCTTTGTTTTAAGAGCTTAATGAAGCTCTTCCTGGGATTCATTCATGTTGGAGAGAGGAATAGAGATTTGAAGAAGAAAGCGAAAAGTTGGTAGATGGAAGACATTTCTCAAATGTGGGGAATTGATGCTATTGAACCTTTAGGCAGTTTTGTTACTGGAGCTGGTAGAAACCAAATGCCATTCTGGAAAAACTTGAGCCCCAACTAATGTCAATTAGCCACTACAATAACAACAAAACAAACTACATACAGCGTGGGGCGGAGCGGGGGTGGTTTGTTTATATCCTCTGCCGACAATTACTACTGCGCTCTCCCATCCCACACACAATGTCACTACTCAGCGCTTCTCTCGCCCCCTACTGGAGGAAGCAGGTATTTTTCCGAATTAAAGGGCCGCGGAAGTCCCTATTTCCCTCCAACTGTGTACGTGGGGAACCTATAAGCCTTATAGTATAAGGCATAAGGCGCAAAGTTCAGCTTTGACTCAGACGAGCATCTGTTTTTCTCTTGAAATCCTCTCTTGCACCCTTGGGGATCCGGTGTCCAAAACGACAGCCAGAGGCGCTTTTTCTTGGTCCGAAGAGAAAGGACGGGCCAGACCCAAAAGGAGGGACTTTGCTGGGGGAATGTCAGATTCCAACCCAGGGCTGCGGCCCGGAGGAGATGATGTCACCGCTTCTGCCAAGAGAGGGCTGGGGGTGGAGCGGCGGAGGGGGAGCCCGCGCCGCGCCGCTGCTGCCAAGGGAGCGTTCCGAGCCCACGTCAGGGGAGGTATC